GGGTCGCAGCTGCCTCTGGAAGGCGCCGAGAGGTACCAAATGGCGCAAATGACCAAAATCAAGATTGTGTAACGCGAGCTGTGCCACAGTGAAATGGAACTAGCCGTAGGGAAAAGGGGAAGGAAAGCAAGGAGAAGGAGGCGCCCTTGGAGCACTTGGAGTGCAGTTGGTAACCAGGGGAGAAAGAAAGAAAGTAAAACAAAACCGAGACAACCCAAGAGGGAGGGGGATGGGAGGACGGCACGCCGCCACCACACAGGGATTTTAAGGATAGGAGTGTGGTGCTAGCCGTCGCCCACCCTAACCCTTGGTCGTCTGCCTCTTTCTATCTTCCTTCGCAGTCCCTCGCCGATTCTCGCTGCAACCTTCATGCCACCTCGCGGTCGTCCCACTCTCGACGTTCTCCCTCCTGTCGCTTCCTCCTCTGTCGCGTCGTTCTCGTCTGCCTCGTCCTGCGACGCCGCCGCTGGTAAGCTCACCGAGTTCAAATTCTTTTGCCCAGCGCGCGCCAGTCCCGTGTGCCCAGTGTCGTGTGCCCACCAGTTAGAGTTTTAGGTGTATTGTTGGCAAATCAAGACACAGAGCTCACACAGAATCACAGCGGGAGGAAAGCGGCGAGTCGCAATTCCAGGGGTCGTTGTGGCGGGCCACCCTGTCCAGAGAGGCATGGATGCCAATCTGTGTGAGTGTTAGAGTTGTTTGGCTAAAAATCTCTCTCTCCAATCTGGGGTCTCTCGACCGAGTCTATGAGCCCTGGCCGCCTCCCGATCTTGGTGGTAAGGCCGCAGCCGGACAGGGCGACGGAGATGGCGCGGGAGAGTACGGGTGTTCCAGGGGGTCACGACGGTTGGAGTTGTCTGGTGTTGCTCTGCTAAAAATCGGGTCGCTCCTCATCGCAAACCCTGTCAGCAGAGTCTCCTACGGGAATGTACGTAAGAGCTACATACACTGAAAATCTCTCTCTCGAACCCAGCTACCCGGGCTGCGGCGCGCGGGCGGTGTGAAAAGTGCCTGGCGAGATGTTGAGGTCAAGACTCCGCCGACAGCCGCCCGGGCTCGCCCGACGCGGCCTTCTGGCCGGGCTCGCCCGGCGCGGCCTGGCGAGCGTGCGAAAGAGCATCAATGCCGAATCTACCGGCCCACGCACCATGTACGACAAGATCTGGGACGACCACATCGTCGAGGGCACGTCGGACGGCACCGCTCTCCTGTACAGCTAATAGCACTCGCACCATTCGGGTGAAAAGGA